ACAATTAATTCTTGATAAACCGCCGCCTTTTGTATTTTAGAAATCATGGTTGTATAACAGATTTGGCAATGAATTGAATTTCCCATCTTTGGGGAAACAAGAAAGAGAGTTTCTGTTCTTGGAAATAAAACATTTAGCGTTTATATTCTTAGCATTATATAAAAACACATTTCAAAATTTGAAAATGACTCAAATATTTTTTTTTTTTTACACGTACAATACTTTTGTTTTAAAACACAATACACAATTATAAAATAAATACACGCACATGTACACAGGTACAGGCATGTAAATCTGAATGTATGATGTTAAAAAAAAATGCTATATTGATCATTGTGATCTGTTGCCGATAGTATGTAAAATGAATTTCTGTCAATTTATACATTAACTTTTTATGGCATCATCGTTGCTAAAACTTTCGCAGTTAATACTCTATCACTAATTTTAAAGCAAACTTTGCACTGTTTGAAGTAGGGATCATCGAACTAATATCGTTGGGGAACTGAAGTTTAATAACCCTTTCGTGGTGAAGCAATGATTAAATCATTTTTAGTAAACAGAAAACAGAATTATAATTATAGTTGATGCTAAAAATTATTGTTTATTTAATTCTTTATTTACATGTACCCTGTCTGCCTTCACAATGGTGATATAGATAGCAACAACCAATTAGCCGCTTCACTGACCACTTGCACATGTCGGAATATCGTAGGAGTGAAACGGTTCACCATGGTATCGATTCACCGCGGTATTTTTTCTCGTTTTGATACACGGTGCAAAATCTCTAATTTTCTGTTAGGTTCATTTTTGGGTAGGGATAGTTATTAAGTTGGGTTTGGCATAAGAAAAAACACGTTATTCAGTATAAAAAAGTAAAGAAAACATAAATTTTTGATGACTGATAGTTTGTAAAATAAATTTTTGACAGTCAAATAATTCTAATCAGTATCTTCTAGTCAATCTGCAAATAAAAATTCATAAATTAAGTGACTAGATTTAGTAAAAGAAAGCATAAAACAAGGTTGAATTTGTTTCTTTCTATCAAAATGTATTGTATCGAAAATAACCGTACCGAGACAAAATTATACAATACGTATCGAACCATGAAGGATGTGTATCATTTCACCCTTAGTATATCGAGATAATTGACACTATGAAATTGACATTTGTTGTGAAAACTGGGTGGCAGATGGCGGTATGCGAATTTGGCGTTATAAAGAAAATTATATATAGCATGAAAAACGTTCTTGAAAAATCATGGCCGTATTGCAAGAATGGCGATAAATCGGATGGCCGTAATCGAGAATTGACTATGTTCATCATTAACATCTAGATTCTATCTTCCTGTCTGTGCGTATAGCAACCTCCTTTTTCCCCATTTGTGTCTCCCTTTTAACACCTCTCCCCCATCATTTTCAACCCAAACTAATACTTATTCCATGTTTAATGAGAACGACACTAGTAAATATGCACTGTAATAAACACACATGGAAGGAACAAATTCATACAGATTTTATCTGTAAGACATTGCCCCATAAAATTGGTAATGTTACAGAGGGAAAACAGTGTCTTAAGCCAGTTGACCCCAGATTGACCATGCAAAGGGAAATAACTTAAGTCAATGTGAAAGTCGTCTATAGTCAAAGAACAAAAGGCCAATGGGCCACAATGCTCACCTGAGTAAATATGGCCCTTTATTCTTAATCAGCAGATTCTTCTTCCTTTATATTCCTATGTATAACTTTGATTGCCGATTGTAGCCCCACCCTACCCCCCGGGGGTCATGATCTGAACATACTTGAATCTACACTACCTGTCAGAGGAAGCTTCAATATATAGTTATGACTAATCAAGGCTTTCCTGTTCTTGAAAAGCTTTTTAAGGATTTTTCATATGTATTTCTATTGGCCATTGTGGACCCACCCTAAATCCTACCCCCTGAAGGTCATGACTTGAAGAACTTGGATCTACACTAGCTGACAATACTTTCCTACAAATATGACTTATCACGACTGCTGCTGTTCCAGAGAAAAAGATTTTTTCTATGTATTCCTATGTAAAACTCTGACTGCTCATTGTGGCCCCACCCTACCCCCGGGGGTCATGATTTGAACGAACTTTAATCTACACTAACTGAGGGTGCTTCCATATGAAAATGACCCATCATAGCTTTGCTGTTCATGAGAAAGTTTTTATTTTTCCATAATAATTAATATACCAATGTAAAACTTTTTACATCCATAGTGGCCCCATCCTACCCTAGGGGGTCATGATTTACTATTTCTTAATTATCTCCTCTTGGAAGGGTGTGGCCCTTCATTTGAACAAACTTGAATCCCCTTTCTCTAAGGATACTCTGCAACTGACCCAGTGGTTTTGGAGAAGAAGTTGAAATTTTTAGAAGTTTATTATGATGACAATAGACAACGGAACAGATTTTGTTCAGAAAAGCTCACTTGAGCCTCCAGCTCAGGTGAGGCCAAAAAATTGTCTGAACCATATCTATTTACATCTGTGATGCATGTATAAACAGTAAGCTCATTGACAATTTCGTGATATCTGTAATTGTTTTCAATATCATTATAGCATATAGGTCTTAAATGGCATGAAATTAATTTAATAATTTCAAAACATCAGAGGATTGCTACTGTGAAGATGGCTTTACATTGGACAATTAATTACATTATCCTCCCCAAATAATTTGAAAAGGATTACTTTATGATTACATTATCCACATGAAAAAGCAATGGACACAGACTTCTTGCAGCCAAGAAGGGCATCGCCATTACGATTTTCTAAGGAAAAGAAAAAGTCACGGATACCTGAAATTTTCTGGGAAAAAGTGTAGGGTCTGGAATTTGGCTGGGAAAAAAAAACACAGGGTGGGTCGGGTATCCGGAAACACATTTTTTGGCCTGAGCTAAAAAAACTGACTAAGTCAAATCATTTGATGATATCCAATCGCAAGGCATATGAATATCTAGCATTAGAATAAAAGTGCACATTATCAAACTAAAAATCTACTGATAAATGTGATTTCATTACTTGTATAATTTGCACACATGATCATAGTTCATTATTCAGATTTCAAGATTCATTTTTTGGATGAAAGAAATCCACAATCACAAAAAGGTTTGACATGATTAATTTTATGGTTATTTTCAATGCACCTCTGAGCTGAGTAAATGATCAAAGTACTTGACCTTTGTGCCCTTAGCAGTGAAGATTGAAAAAAAAACACACACGTGAAGTCCAAGTTTAATTATCTACTCTCAATAATATTTTTTAAAATAATTATCACCCAGTATAACAGCGAATTACCAGTGTGTGTACAAAGCGACTATAGAAAGTGATTTACAGTATTCGCGAGGCAAAAAAAAAGCTCGCTGTAAGGGGTGCAAAAAGAGAAGAAATGGGACTGTTGATCGTGAATGGAATAAATGGAAGATGAAAGCCAGATAGTAATTGGAAAAAATAAGAAAGTTTATATATGTAGAAAAAATCAGAAAAAGTACACTGTGCAGCTAGTCTGTCTGCCATCTCGACGACATCCGAGCATCATGATCTGGGGTTGTTTGTGTATAAAAAGAAAAGGAACTTTAACTAATGCAGAAGGTAACATAAACATGGTAAATGCAAGAAAATATATTGAAATATTAGACAACCTTTGGCCCGTTTTAGCCAGGCATTTTCCAGATAACCAGTATGTATTTATGGACGACAAAGCTCCCGTTCACAGAGCAAATTTTGTAAGAGAATACATCGCCATAACAACACATAATTACAACAGCATGGCCTGTCCAGTCTCCTGGCCTCAATATTATTGAGAACATTTGGTTAAAATTAAAAGGACCACTGGAAACCCATGCCGAATTCATTTACACAAAAGATCAACTTATGGTGGAAATTCGGACTACCTGGGTAAATGTACCAACCTCCTCCATTAAGGACACCTGTGTAAGACAATTCCTGGCAGACTAAATGAAGTATTAAAGATGAAAGGCAATTTAACAAAGTATTGAGGGAAGATAAACATTTATTAATTGTTTAACAGATACTAAATATCAAAGGCAAATAATCATGTTCCTTGACTGTATTGGTGAGGGCCTGATTATTCTAACTAGGTCCCAACAGCAGGGCTCTCACACCAGTTTTTGGGACTGGGCCGGGGCCGTGAAAATTGGGAAAATTAGCGACCTTTGGAGGAAATTTGGGAAAATCATAACTAGACAATATCCATTAAATTCATTATATATTGAGTTTCTGGTGGTTGTTATTAACTAAAGTTCTGTTTTGTAATATAGAGAAATATGAATAACAAGTTTAGGAACTACATATTTTACTAAACGTTCTTTAATATTTGGGGAAGTGACCAATTGGGAAAATTAAAACATTAAATTGGGAAAAAAGGTACCTGTTTTGAATTGGGAATAGGGCCTTCAAACGGCCCCAATTATAGAGAATTGAGAGCCCTGCAACATGTGCAAGTGAGGACAGAAGAAATATTTCTGGACCCAGGACCATGTCTAGATTTTGATTCAAAAGCTTTCACTTTAGCACTTTTCAGTAAGTTTAATCAGGGACCTATATACTATATATGTTAGTATATAGGTCCCTGGTTTAATATTTCCTTCAATAAATACTACAACAATGGCAACTCATCTATGCCGCTGAACGTCTTGATCCGCCTATTTGCTTGTCCTTGCATGCTTTATGTCCATGAAGTTTAGTTTTGCTGCCTTTCACGCTCTCCTCATTATCAGTATTAATAAAGCTTTTAAAATTAAAAATATTTTGCACCCTGTGCATAATAATATTTATTACTTGAGCCAAGAATCACCACATACGACCATATAAATGACTTGCACAATTTTTAACCACGCCGATATCGCGATTATGGCTCATGTGAGCATTCCAAATGACCAGCCAAATAAAGCTGAATAAATTTTACCTGTAATATTTATAAAATGAATATTATATTGAAATAGTATATGTTATACCTAAAAAGAAACTGCATGGATGGATAGAAGAACTCGGTCTTTTTTCTTTTCCTTGTGCACTGGTATGGATACTACAAGATGGCCGCAGCGTGGGTTCGATCGTTAATTTTCGACAATTTCCGTGAAACCATGTGACCTTTTCTGGGAAAAGCAAAGTCGGTAGGTCATGAAATACTCGATATGAATGAGTTATGCATGCGCGGATCTAGAGGGGGAATCGGGACCCCTCCCTGAAATTTGCAGAGTTATTAAAAGAATATACCGAAGTATATCAAAAATAACTTTGGTCCCCTCCTAGAAAACGTGGACGTGGACCCCACCACCATCAACACGAAATAGAAGAATGGACTTTACGTTTTGTTTTGTTTGTTTTTATTATTATTTTTTAATTTTTTTTTATTTATTTATTCATTTATTTATTTATTTTTTTTTATTATTATTATTATTATTTTTTTTTTTTGCTTGACGAGATTCGCCCCTGAGCTTTTGAACAGATTTATATCTTAACCTATATTTCAAAAATTCTGCATAAAGTTTTAATTCTTACAATAATTTTGGATTCTACAATGCCAATTAAACTATATTCAGTTAAAACTCCATGATTAAATTCCATACCAAAAGCATTAAGTGAGGAACTATATTTTGTGGCGGAATTTTTTTTTAGAAGAAAATGATCATTTTTTTCTCTTTCGAAGTATTTAAAGTATGTTAAGTTTGGATTCCTATTTTTACATGCAGTCTTCACACAGAGTTATTTTGTGCAGTGAACTGTTTTATACTGGTCCTAAATTATATACAAGTAATAGCTTTTCAAAAAGCTTGCCTGACTAATCAATCAATATCTATATGGAACGTATATGCAGGAGAGGTGCTAAACGTTTCCGTTATCAAGGAGCGACATAGTTTCAATACTTCATTATACAGTTATACAAGATGTACAGTTGACTTTCTAAAATTTCATAACCAAATACTACAGATTAACGAATATCTAAGACATGCCACTATTTGGTCATTTATTAGTTAGCCCACGGGATGACTAGTTACGTTGGGATGAAACTGCAAGTGCGTTAGCGTAGATTATAATCAAAGGCGGATCCATCACAGGTGCGCCGGGCGTGCCCCCCCCCCCCCCCCACCCGTTTGAATTTTTTGTATGTAGAACTTATATGTTCAAATCAAGTAAAAAACACCTCTTATTTGTAAGAATTCGTCAACTTCCGGGGCTTCGCCCCCGAACCCCCATCAGAGCTTTGCTCTGGACCCACTGGGGTTTCAATGCAGCCCCCAGACCCCCTGCCTTCTACTGCGCCCTCCCGTTATGAAATTCCTGGATCCGCCACTGATAATTCTGGGAAAATAGTTAGATGATTGGTTTTAAAGAAATTCATATTACATGTACTCTCTTACTAGAGGTCGCACTTCTTCATGGTCAGTGATAGATTGATGAGACGGCCTCTATTTATAGACTGGTCTGTTTTCCGTCGTTCTCGACGACGAAGTAAATTATGAACAGTTTTAACTGGGAAAGTTGTCTTGAAGTGTTTGAGACAAAAATGCTGCAATGCTACTCTAGAAATCAAAGTAAATAACCTGTACACTTTATAGCTAGCGCAAAACAAGATACTAATACCTCCCCCCCCGGACAAAACTCTCGCGATGATGGTCTTACCATATACAAGTACATGTATTATAATTGAGCTTAAAATACATCTAAAGTTATATACAGTTTTGAAATTGTTAGTTTTTTTTTTTTCAATCGATTTCAGGACCTTTCTCATAATTAAAATAACGTGCTTTTTTATGAAATGAAAACCAGTACAGATCATGATGTCTTCTTCATTTTGCCGATTCTTTACTTAGAACCTTACGGGAGTAAAGCCCATTCCTCTACGGGTACTGACCTACACTCTTGTCACTGTATTAAAAGGAAACCCTTGTTCATAACAAAGCGTGAAATAATATGCTACTCACTGACTTTCTAAGCTTTTTAAAAAAAAAAAAAAAAAAACTTACCTTGTAACGAACATTATTAATAAATGTAATGTTGAAAGAAAGGCTAGGTGGAAAACAGAATCAAGAAGGGATGTCCCATTTACTGGGTGGAGGGAGTTTGTTTATGATTAGACTAGTCCACTTATGGAATAAATAGTAAGAATAATCAGCAAATCAATTGCTTTAGTGTTGCCTGTCTGTATACAATGTGTTCTCTTAAAAAAATGAGATAAAATTTACTGTTAATAAAAAATCTGGAGCTTAAGAATCATGTTAAAAGAATAAACTTTATTTATTTCCATAAAAGTTATCACACCCATTCAATAGAACAACCCAAGAAAAAGGCGCGAAGATAATTTACATGTGACACTTGGCGCAAAATGATTGTGTCACCCCTTTCGTAGAAGGCAAATGGACTGATCCAGTAGTTTAGAAACGCAGAAAAAATGATACACGGACATGTTCGTACAAAGAATCGCAAAGAATAAATATGTGCATGCAAAAAAAATGAAGGAATTAAACACATCATTATTTTGCATCAGTTATATGATTCTTTCTTCTGCAAACTGTATTTGTTTAAATGCAGGTAACAAATTCCGATGTAAATCAGCTTGCAGAAAATCTAGTTCAATAAGAATTATCGCTTAGTTTCGGATCCCTGAAATATTAATCCTTATACTGCCTGACGCACCTGGCGTCAGGCAATTAAATAAACTGTCACGAATTCTATCATCATATTTGATAAATATAGCAAATATATTGTGAAAATCAAGAAAAAAAATCCCTATTTTAAGGTAAAAATTAACATCGCAGACCCCCACTTTTTATTTCTTTTCTGAATATATTATACAGTTATGGAATGGGTACGAGGGAAATAGCAAATTTATGGTTCCCCGAGGGAGGAAACTATTTCCCGAGGCGGCGAAGCCGCCGAGGGAAATAGTTTCCTGCCGAGGGGAACCATAAATTTGCTATTTCCCGAGTTCCCATTCCATAACTGTTTTATTATACCAAAACAATCATAGACGATTTAATTTTTTCACCAGACATTCCGACATTTAAAAAAAAAAACAATGTAGAGGCAAAATCACAAATACATGCGGTTTAACACATTGTTATAAGTAATGCATCGTGTCCTAAAACAATTAAATTATTTTTAAAAAGTATTTTCACTGACATTTCGAAGAATTATCGTTGCCTTCATTTCGCTAGAATCCAAGTATGATTTTGACATCGCATGGCGAAATGTTTTGACGTCATAGTTACATTGCTAATAACATGACGTCACAGACTCGAGATTTCTTAAACGCTCCGCCCACTGAACACTTTGATTGGTTAAAATTACTAATAAATATTCATGAGGGAGTAGTCCCAGGGAGTAGCTCTGATTTTCCAGGGAGTAGTCCTCAGATGAGGGAAATAGTCTCTTCTGGTGGAAATAGACAGTTTTATGGTATTAATTTTATATAGAGTAATTACAGTAGAGGTATAATAAAAGATACTGTTACGTTCCGATAAGTTTACCTGTGAAATTCGGATTAACTGTTGTTGACAAGTTCCGAATAAACGGACCCTGAACCCGATGTGTATAAACTACTAAAATAATTGTCAATGAACAATGAACGAAAGAATTGAACAATAAATTGATTTATTTGAACTTTATCAATTTGATTTATGTATTGTAATGACAAAGCGTTATATTGTATATGTTCTATACAGGTACAACGTTATTTAGTAATTTTAATGGTTAAAACCCGCTAACTTACAAATCAGATATTAATTGTGACGTTATTGGTTTCTGACGTTTCTACGTCATCATAACAACTTTTGTCTATAAAAGACAGCTGTTTTGTGTTTAGAAGTCAGTCTGCAGTGGGTAGCGACTCCGTATACTTCGGGTGTTAGACAGTGGTATGTACAAACTTCATGGCCGTAGGAACCGGGGGGCCACGGGGGGGCCGTGCCCCCCCCCCCCAATAATTTTGCCGATATATAGAATACTATAGAAAACATAGCTACTACATGCTTGTGCCCCCTCATTAATAACGTCTGATGACCTTTTTTTTTTTTTTTTTTTTTTTTTTTTTTGCTTGTCAAAGAATTTTGGAGTCGATAGTGCCCCCTCAACTGAAAATGTATGATTGTGCCCCCTTAAAGTGAAATTGCTTCCTACGGGCCTGTCAAACAGTACCAAGTCTATGTATACGAAATCATTAGTGAAGAGTCATTTAGAGTAGAAACGTCCTGGATTGACCATTGGTTCGTCATCTTTGTATTAACCAAATAACGTTGTACCAACCAAGTTTATCATTGTGCTTATAATTGAACCATTTGATCGTCTTAATTGCCTGACGCCACGTGCGTCAGGCAGTCTAAGAATTAATTTTTTCAAGATCCGAAACTAAGCGATCATTCTTAATGAACTAGATTTTCTGGAAGCTGATTTACACTGGAATAATGTTGTGTTTAATTCCTTAAGTTTTTTTGCATGCACATGTTTATTCTTTGCGATTCTTTGTACGGGCATGTCCGCGTAACATTTTTTCTGCATTTCTAAACTACTGGATCAGTCCATTTGCCTTCTACGAAAGGGGTGACACAATCATTTTGCGCCAAGTGTCACATGTAAATTATCTTCGCGCCTTTTTCTTGGATTGTTCTACTGAATGGGTGTGATAACTTCTATGGAAATAAATAACGTTTATTCTTTTAACCCGATTCTTAAGCTTCAGATTTTTTATTAACAGTAAATTTTATCTCATTTTTAAAAGAACACATTGCATATGGGCAGGCAACACTAAAGCAATTGATTTGATGATTATTCTTACTATTTATCCCATAAGTAAACTAGTCCAATCATAAACAAACTCCCTCGACTTAGTAAATGGGACATCCCTTCTTGATTCAGTCTGTTTTCCACCTTTTCTTTCAATATTACATTTATTAATAATGTACGTTACAAGGTTAGGTTTTTAAAAAAGCTTAGAAAGTCAACCAGTAGCATATTATTTCATGCTTTGTGATGAACATGCAAGGATAGTGACAAGAGTAGGTCAGTACTCATAGAGGAATGGGTTAACTCCCTTAAGA